GAGGATTTAGGACGTGGTCCGTCGGTTTGGGAGCCCTAACCCGGCCGTAAGGACCCACGTACAGCTGTGCCACCTGATATTCGCTTGGCGAACTCTCCGGCTTTATGACGTAGAGGTTGGTCAAATCCAATTGAGAAAGCCCGGATGCCAACCCTTTCCGCCGACGCAATGAGCGTCTCTTCACCGCCCCAGAGGACGACGCCCCACCAGGCACAGAGGAAATTGGGGGAGGGCAGGGGATAGCGGCCGATGAAGCATCACCCGCATCATCTTCTCGAAGCTTAGGCCCGGAACTCGCTTCGTCCTCACCTGAGTGGTGAGAACCCGCGTCGTCACTCAAACGTTCCTCGTCCACTGAGGTACGATAGTCTGCAGTATTCTCCATCTCCAATTCAAAGGCTGCCACGATGTCTAAATCCACCTGAGGAGACGCGTCGTCCTCGTCAAAAGGCCAGTCCGATTCGTCTAGGGAGGCTGTCAAATCAATAGGGGAAGGGACGCTACGGCCGTCAGGGAACGGCATGACAACTATCGCTACGTCCTAAGGGCGGTTCGAAGATCAAAGTGGTTTTTCCTACAAACACTAGATCTAACCCCCTAGGAAGCAAAATATAAAGAAAAGGAAGAACAAATTCAAGAATCTAACCTTGAACTTTTGAAGATCTGAAGAACACTTGACGATTTCTGGGAAGCACTTTTCTCTCTAAGAAATCTCAGCAGCAATTCAGCTCAACAAATCGCAAATGAAGGTAAGGCTTCGGAATGAGGGGGTATTTATAGAAAACTTCCAAACGGTCACTACACGTGGCGCCATCCCATTGGCTCCACCAACGGCCACCTCTCTTCCGACCAATCAAGGGGCGCCAATTCAAAATCACTCAAGCAAGCACCCCTACGGCCCAACTCGGCCTTAAAAAAGAACAGGGCATCGGCCGAGTATCACTACGGCCCAAGTACTACAGAGCTTCAAAGCAAGCGTCGGCCCATACGGCCGAAAAAAGAACGCATCGGCCTAAACTCAACGTCCTCACAACAACCCAAGGAACCTCAATAGACCGCTACGGCTGCTTGTGTGCGCATCGTCGATGATAACCCTGGCATTGCGGCCTTCGTCCAAGGGTTCTCCCACAGGGTTACCTTGGACAGGTTCGCCTAAGGGTTGGAGTCGCGACTAACGCATAGGTACCAAATCGGCTCATTACTCCCTTGTGCCTCAGATGCTCTTCGGCCAAAGGAGTGGGGGACTGGGGGACTGCATCGGCCACAAGGAAAGAAAACGCAACGGCCTTAATGCAAAAAAGGATGCGCTATGGCTCACCAACAAAGAAAGACGGGCGATTAAGAGTCGCGTCAGCTACCTCAAATGGCATCGCGAGTCGCGTCGGCCGCAAAAGCCCAAAATAAAAAGAAACTCACCACGCAAGATCTGACACGCAACGGCGACGTACACTGAGAGGGCCGCATCGTCTCACCATAACAAAAACTCACAAGTCAAAACGCTTTGGCCGCATAACAAATCAAAGGTGCGCACCGCATCGTCTACATAAACGGAGTCAACCATCTTCACCTCATAGAACAAAGTTATCGCTGCGGATCAAAAAGGGAACATACCGCTTCGTCCTAAGAGCACGCCCATGAAAGCGCATCGGCCCACATCAAGGCTATGAATTCCTAAGCACGCTTCAATCTACATCAAGTAAAGGAAACTGCTTCGTCCAAAATCAAAGCGGAGACTCTTCGGCCATCAAGCACTTTAGGCCCACGCGGCGGCCAACCAGAGAGGAACAAGTACTCCCTTTCGCTCCGGCTTCACCTCAGCTCAGAGAGTGGGGGACTCCTGATAGAGTATATGGGCCTAGACCCCATGGCCCACATACTCAACGGCCCAAAAGACACCAGTGGGACACCCGCATCGGCCAAAGGCACGCGACACCCAAAAGAGAAGATATCGCCTGATTTCTATGGACCGCATCGTCCATGGACCGCATCGTCCATGGACCGCGTCGTCCATGGACCGCATCGTCCATGGACCGCTTCGTCCGGACTTCGTCCGGGCAGAATGTATTTTCCCATTTTTTGTACTAAGTGTTGTACTCACCCCATTAGTGGCCTTATTTCGCCCAAAGAAGGCATGATTATTGTAATGGGCCTCCTAAGCCCAAGGCTAGGGGCCCAAATCCACATCTTTACCTATAAATAGACCCCAAGGGGCTAATTATAGGGGGTTCCAAATTGAGAAATATAATTACTCACTTTCTCTCTCTAGCTCTCACTTCTCTCTAGAATTAATACTCTATCATTAGTAATAGGTTCCTATTAAAGGCTCCTGCAATGCACACATTAGCTTGACATATAGTTTGGTTATTTCAGAATGATCAACATGCTTTAATGAAGTATAAAAATATAACAATTAAAAAAAGTGAAAGAGTAAAAAAGAAACAGAACATACATTGGGGTTATCTCTATGAAGACGATTTAACTCTTTTTACTTCTCTAACCTTTTCGCTAAATATGGGATGTCAAGTAATTTATAAATTCATCTTTCATCTGCTTCAGACCAATTTGTGTGAAAATGGTGAAAAGGTTCATTTTAAGAACAAATTAATATTATTAAGTCAATGACTATAAACTTACTTAAGACTGGACGGGGCATGTTGAGTGACAATAAGAGTGCCCATTACTTTCCAAATCTGCAAATAAAGAGTTAATCAAGGAGCTTAGAATCACCTTCTGAGGTAGAATGTTCATAAAGTTTCAGTTTGAAAATTCATATTTGGTTTCAATTGATATCTAGTGAGCTTCGAAGTCAAAAGCACATGGGAATATAGAAAAGATTAAACGGCAGGCATCGCCAGAAGCCTGTAATTGACTAAATTGACTAAAGTACAAAACTTATGAGAGGATTCAAAACACATATCGGATAAAATTGTCTAAAGTCACTAAAATCTGCAGACATCGTTCTTTGGCTACTAATTTCCTGATATGAATATTTCATTAAACAACTTATATGCTTTGGTAGACCTAAAACTCATGTAAAAACGGAGAAAATATAGAAGCAACTATAACTTATATTTTCCGTCTACTCTAACATCTATTCTAACTGACAGATTCTATGAAGAATATTCTGCTTTTTTATTCTCTTTCATAAACTATATTCTCAATTTGAAGTTTTGATTAAAGTTATGGCCGCTGAATTTTAAGTTTTGATTAAGTGAATGGCAGAGAAAGAGCCAGCAGAGTCTTTGTTGCCATTCTTATTGAAGCTTTGGTCTATTAAAGCTAGCCTTTCCGAAAGTTAACGTGGCAACGGACTATTTTTTGTTTTTAACTTCATCTCTGTTGAAAACCTAAACAATGAACATGAAAGTAAGGCCAAAGCAATAATAATACATAGTAGAGTATTAGATTAGAGAACAGAGAATGGAGAAATGAAGAATTAGATTAGAGATAGTACCTTTGCTACTCGGACAATGAAAGTATGAAGTCCTAATGTAGATCTGCACCAGTATATGGTGGCGGTGTAATTTGGAGGTCTTCTGGTTTCGGTGAAGAGCCAGACGCATTCGATTAGAGATGGAGAATTCTAAGGTAAGCAATCAGAGTTGAAGTCGCAGGGCGAGATGCGTTAACATCGCTGGGGAGAAGATAAAGATGGAAAGAGGCAATCTTTTCTTTTTTTGTGATCACAAGCAGCGCCCTTTTTTCAAATTTAGGCTTAAAATTTAGGCAGCCACGTGGCCTTATAACAACAAAGGAGAATATTTTGGGTTGAGCTACACGTAGGATTAATGAAGGGCAAAATGGTAATTTTATGAGCTATCTCTTTTCTTATATATAAATAGATAGATAGATTTCTAATTCTAAACAAAAATACAAACTATTGGTTAAGCTATTAAGCCATGGACCAACTCGGAACTTTTGCATGAACTCCTGATTCACATGACTCCGGAACTTCAAATGAAAGGATGTTTTTAATTGGACTGCAATTTTCTAATCTGGTCTGGTCTAGTTTGCTCTGATTTGAAATGTGTTATTCTGGTAGATGTTTGTTTATGTGTATTTTACACTTGTTAAAATTAGATCTAATCTAGTCTGGTTTGATCTGGTTATTTAATGTGGTCTGGTGTGATCTGTTTAAGTCTAATATGATCTGGTTTGGGATTGAAACTAGTACAACTAAAAATATCAGTAGTCTCTAACCAACATTTGACTTAAACTACATAGAAGATTCATCACACAAAAACAATGCACATGGTTGGGTCCAGGTGATGTTAACTTTGATGCATAATTGCATGACCTGATAATTAAACGCACTTTCACATTCAAATGTCTAGCTATTACTCCAGTGCATTGTGCTTAAGGTGTGTAAATCAATATGCTTTGAACGAAAGAGTATTTGAAAAAATGGGTGCATTGGAGTACTATATTTATTTGTTACAAATTCATCATATGATAAAAAAAAAGTAATAATAATCATAGATCTAATCCATATGTGCAACATAAACAAGACATTGAGTAACTTCGTTTTTTCATGTTTCACTAAAATTTCTCGAAAACAAAATGAGTTATTTAAAAAAAAGATGATACCTCATCCCTGAGGACCCCCCAACACCGACCGGACGGCACGATGGGAGGATGTAAATTGGACTATAATCACAATCTGACAGACATAGAGTGGGGCCCCGTCCATGGTACTTGTAGAGGCCCTATGCATTTTTAGCATAGTAACCTCTCATCGCAGTTGCTGGGATTCGAACTCGGGACTTAACCCTTGAGGCACTCCCTCGCTACCAGTTGAGCTACGCCCACCGGTGAATTATTTTTAAGATTTAATTTTTCCCTTGCTTACCTTTTCAAACAGATCATAGTGGGCGTTGGTCCGCCGTTGGAGCAAATGAGCAATACGAGTGATTATGGGTTGTCGGCCCAATATACTCTTTCGCAAACGAGGGCAACCTTTATGTTGGTAGGACTGTAGGAGGGCCTGATAGGCAAACAAGCCCAAAATTAATTATTTGGGCATAAACTAATTTTGGTAAAACTCCTTTCTCTCTTCGCCGGCGATGGACCTCTTCAAGTCTGTAACACCTATACACTTCCGATCCGACTCGGAATTTCTTCATTCCGACATCAACGACTGATGAGCATGGTCGACGTGATCAAATGCTGCCTTGATTCCATCTCACAGGTAAGCTAATTCTTATAGTTCTTCTCACTTTACTTCGTATTTTGATAATTCTATGTTCAATTTGCATCTGGAGCTAATTGTTGTTGTTAAATCAACATTTTAGAAGCTTCCATCTGGAATAGGATCCTGAAACGAAATTCATAATTTAATTTTTATGATTGATTTTTGCGACATTTGTAGATATCAGATGACATTAAAGATGCCATAGTGTACTTGGATGCTGGATCCACAGAGAGCTTTCAGTTGCTGGGAGCATTTTCATTGTTATATGAGCTTGGAGCTTATTCCATCTGCAGTTTGGAGAAGTCGTCACCTCTTGATGAGGTTGGTGTTGTTACATATGCTTATCTGATTATGATTTTTGTCTTCAACAATTGATGGTCAAGTGCTTTGAACAATAATTGCCTCTTTGTTTACCTTATGTAATGTCGTACTTTTTTTTTTATTGTTTTACCACATGTTCCACATGAGTACATGAATGGTTGTTTCTCTTGTTGTCAGCTGTCGCCACCATTGTGTATATTTCTCATATTGTGAGTAAACTGGATATCATCATTTAATTTTAATGGTTTCCTCAAAAGCATTAGAAATATAAGCCTGCAATGCTTTCTTGATCCACATGAAATGAAATAATATGTTGCATTTTAAAATGTAAAGTTCACTTCAATTTTGAAAATGTAGCAGAAGCTAGTAGGTTTGTATATATATTTTCCCCATTGCCTGACATACTTGTTTCAAGGTGGCCGATGGGACTTCAAATGCAGATTCTGAAAAGAAAATTGTCATCATCACAACACGCCTTCTGAGTGATGCTCATAGATACATTTTACGGTGTCTCAGCACTCTTCAGAATGTACATCAGTGTGCAATATTTACATCAATTTCAGAGGTTCTCTGTTTTTCTCCTAACTCCTGGTGAATGTTACATTGTTTTTCACTTCATGCTCTAGAAAATTAACTATATGCCCCCCATCACAAATATTTGGTAGTTGTTCAATTCTCTATTTTTCACATAAAACAGTTACAAAGAGGAGTAGACATTAATACATACTGCAGAGTCATATTATTTCCTGAACATTGTGATATATGCATATTAAGGTATTTTTGTTTAACATATACCAGTAAGATTTAGGAGCAACAATTATGTCCCAAGATGTGTTTCTCGACTTTTGATGTATCACTTTTGCTATAGGACATGTCTATAGAAACTATCTCAACTCATCACCATCCCATCATATTTTTAATGCAAGTGAGGAAACTCGTGGGGATCATGGCTTTGAAATTTAATCTCATTATTTCTTCTTTAAAAGGCTGTAACAGAAAGTTTCTGTGCCGTAAAACTTTGCCACTATGCTATTGCACATTAATTGTTAGTGTTAAACTAATTTTACACAAATGATTGACACTGAGTTTTAATGCCACCACTCAAACGTAGTTTTTTAAAGCTGTGACATTGGTGGTATAAAATGAAGAAGCAAAACATTCTGATTTTCATCAACTGCACTAACTTGAACTCTCTGTCCCAAAAAGGAGGCCTAATTCATGTACTTTTCGTGCCACAAAAAATTGTCTAGTTTTAAAGTCAAATTTCATTTCCAAATAAAACTCGTGTAAAGCCAAGTAGTGACAACTAGCCAATCAGGAAGCGGTTTTAGTCAATTTACTCAGTTACTCTAAACAATCTTTCAAATTAGTTTTAGAAGTATATAAGAGACTTTCTAAAAGCTTGTACCTCAATTGAGTTGACTAATTATCCCACTTCTCTGTATTCAATTATTTTAATAAATGCAGACGGCTCACTCAGCATATCCTGATTCACCTCTAGGTCCAGATGCTTTCCGTGAATATGAATCTTTGCTTGTTCTAGACTACGAAGAGCAGCTCGTTAGAAGATCTCATACAAACTCTGCACCTTCTGGAGAAAACCTATCAAATGATACTGTAGCTCCTAAAGACAAAGAGTTGCCACCAATTGCTACCACTGCAGAACATATATCCATATACAATGCCATTTCAAGTGTAAAGAATCCAGAGAAGGACACTTTTATTGACAAAGCAGTGGCTACACGAAGCAAGTTGGTTGTTTCTGTGCACCACTTCCCTTTGGTCTTATGTCCCTTTTCACCTAGATGTTTTGTCTTACCTTCTGAAGGATCTGTTGCTGAAGCACACTTGTCGACTGAACAAGAGAATTCTATAAGCCGTGGCTTGCCTCCAATAAGCACAGGAATACCTCCCGACGGTGAAGATGTCCCTCCTGGAGCAACTCTTACTGCTCAATTTCTTTATCATTTAGCAACTAAGGTAATCACATGCTTTGGATAATGGAGTATTTGAGTTCAAAATCATTTGCCTGATATTACTTAACCGTATGGATTATGCCTTATGAGTTCAATTATTTGAGTTCAAAAACTCCATTTCTTTATCATACGCTTTGTTTTTTATGCTTTTTATGGAATTCGTTGATCTTTCATGACATTACTTAACTGTATGGATTCAGTGGCGAAGAAAGTCTGATATCATCCTGACTAAAAGTAAATACAGAAGCTTCAAGGGTCTAGAAAGTGAGAATTTGTTTGGAAATCAGAAAATGGTAGGGAAAAGGGAGTATTTATTAATGAAGATGACATGTTTAGTTTTACTTGGGGGAATACAAAGAAAAAACAAAACACATCATATTTTCTCATATATCTAGTTTTCTATGTCTTTATATGGTAATAGAATGGTTTAAATGAGATGAGTTTGAAACTTTGAACAAATACCCAAAATTGATATATGGACTTCGATGTTTGTTTTTTCCTTCTTTTTCACCCACATTTTCTTTCCTTCCCGATTTCCTCTCTGTGTTCCTCCCTATTATCTTTCCCTGGCATTTTCTGAGTTTCCAACGGAGCCTACAGCAGTAACTCAAAGCTTGCTATCATATAATGTTAATGCGATCATAACTCATGTCCTCTGAATATTTGCTACTTATTCATTTTACTAGCTTCTTTTCTATGTGGGATTGGGAATGCTACTTTACTGGTCTGTAACTTACAGATGGATTTGAAACTGGAGATATTTTCTCTTGGTGATTTCTCAAAAACTGTCGGTAAGCTTCTAACAGACATGTCAAGCCTTTATGATGTTGGTCGCCGTAAAAGATCAGCAGGATTATTAGTTATTGACCGCACACTTGATCTTCTCACCCCTTGTTGTCACGGGGATTCACTGGTGGATCAAATTTTTTCTTCACTTCCTCGTAGGGAACGAACAACAACATCGTTAGGCTCACAAAACCAACTCAAATATGGGCCCACTTATGTGAGACGAGCTCCACTTAGTGTTATGATACCACTTGAAAACTTTATTCAGGAAGAAGGAAGTTCACGAAAAAGCAAATCCAGTCTGGTAGAGTGCAGTGAAGCCTTTTTAAGTGGTTGGAATGGAGAAAAGTCATTGAAAAGTTTTGACTGTGATTTTCTTTCCGGGTCCTTTGTCTCCACCGATAACTATCGAGGAACTCCGTATCTGGAGGCTATTCTAGACAATAGAACAAAAGATGGGATTCTACTAATCAAGAAATGGCTTCAGGAGTCTTTACGTCTGGAAAACATTTCCTTAAGTACAAAAATAAGTCCCAGTAATTATGTTTCGAAGGCAGAGCTACAGGCATTGATAAAAGCATTGACTAAAACCCAATCATCATTGATAAGAAACAAAGGGATAATTCATTTAGCCATAGCAGCTTTCTACGTTTTGGATGAATTGCATAGTTCGAGATGGAATGCGTTTAACAGTGCTGAGAAGATATTGACAGTAAACGCTGGAGATACAACCCAGAGTCTTGCTGCTCAAATCAACGATCTTATTAACAAAAGTGCTTTCGTTGGTGTGCATGAGGCTACAACAAAGGGTCTACTCACTCTTCAAGATTCCCTTCTCCTTTTAGTCAATGGATATATATTAGGTGGTGAGAATTTCCCAACATCTGGCTCTAATGGTCCTTTCTCTTGGCAAGATGAGCATTCCATCAAAGAATCCATCATTGACGCAATCATTGAAAACCCAGCAGTGTCTAAACTGAAGTTTCTCCAAGGCCTGACAGAAGAACTTGATGAAGCTAATTCAAACAAGAAAAAACAAGACAAAAAGGAAGAAATTCTTGACCAAGTAGAGACCACTGATTTTGATGAGGAGTGGGACAATTGGGACGATGAAGATGCTGATAATGATAAAAGTAAAGAGAAAGTTTATGGTGACATGCAGCTAAAATTAGAGTTACGTGATAAAGTAGATAATCTTTTCACATTCTTGCACAAACTGTGTAAACTGAAGAGCAACGTGATGTTTAGAGAGTGGTCATTAAGCTTGGAGAATAAATTCAGTGACGATCCTTACTCCAAGAAAGGAATGCTTTATAAAGTGCTAAGCAAGGTACTTGAGAAGCAGGATGTGCCTGGCTTAGAGTACCATTCAACAACTGTTGGCCGGCTTTTTAAAAGTGGGTTTGGGAGATTTGGACTTGGACAGGTTTGTTTTTGTGTGTTGCATGTCAGGCTTTTTTATTAATGATAATCGTTGACCTTAGCCCATTTTTGCATTTAAATGTTGACAGACAAAACAAAGCCTTGCAGATCAGAATGTCATTTTGGTGTTTGTCATAGGGGGCATCAATGGCGTTGAGGTTTGCAGTCTTTGAACTTTCTCTTTCAATGATATTTACATTGACCTGAAATTTGGCTGAAGTGACTGGAATACTGAATGAGTTTAATTTTGTAAACTATGTACTGCATTTTTTTTCATTATGAGCTATTCAATGAGGTCTGTGTTTGACAAAAAATGTACTCCGTAGTAGATAAGTAAAAAATCAGGGACCAAAACATGTACAAAATCCGTGTATAACTGAACTGAGAGGAATACAGGAGACATCATTAAAAAGTCAAAGACAAAAGTAGTACTGTAGAAGGAAAGACAAATCCTTTATGAACCGAATCATTGCTAACATTTTGGCTTGAAACACATCAAAGAATGCTCACCCTTCTAGAAGTGCACTAACTTGTTGGATTTGCAGGTAAGGGAAGTCCAGGAGGCATTATCCGAAAGCAGCCGACCTGATATAGATTTGGTTCTAGGTGGAACCACTCTTCTAACCCCCAACGACATGTTTGAATTACTCCTTGGAGAGTCTGGCTACATTTAAGGCTCTCCTTGAATTTGTAGCATTAAAACTTAGTGAAATGCTATGCGGAAGTGCGGAAAAGACTTTCACAATGTAGATAACACAGACAAGACTTTTCATAGGTGGATGGAGTAACTATTATGCCTTCTTTAATGCCCTGAGCCCAGACACATTGCTCTCCCAGTGACGCACATCATCAAAATCATGACGAGTATGTGATGACATCATTGTGATTCTGGCGGTGTAACGTAAATGGTGATTTTGTGAGCACGACTACCTCTGATGGGTGAACCTAAAGGATCTTGTTAATAGGGAGTAAATTTTGCCCGAGATTATGACATCATAATTCAAACAGGATATGGACCAAGTTAATACTAGTAGTAATTTCTAGGGATAACTGCAGTTTGAGTAGGTATCCTAAAACCGGTAAAGTCCATCCATTTTCATTACATTCCTCTATTATTGTTATGATCTTCGAAGATCAAATAGCAGGATCATTGTGATACCTTACATTTGTTAACGAGTCATACGTAGTATGTTATATGGACTATGGATCGGAGTATCATAAGAAAAACAGAAAATCCATGTTTAGGAAACTTTCAAGAGTCACTTTTAGTTTTCGACTTCAAAGTTTCCTACATTTAGTCCTGTGAGTATTATCAAATTGATATTTTTAGTCCTTCCATAATGATATTCACACAATAAGCGGAGGACTAAAAATATCACTATTATAATAGTTGAAGGACAAATGTGTCACTTTTATGAAAGTCGAAGTACTAAATATAGAAATTTTTTCAAAAACGGGTACTATAGGTGTCTTTCACACAATAGTCGAAGGACTAAAAATGAAAAAAAAATAAAAGTCGTGTATCAAAAGTATCAGTGACAATAGTCGGAGGACTAAAAGTGACTTATTAAAATTAAACACTACTCCTCGAGTCCTCCTATACTATTCTATGCTTGCTGTTTTTTATTACAACGTTTGGATGAAATTAATGTTTTTGTTCCTAAAAAATATTTAGAGAAATCGCATATATGGTCCCTCAATTATCCACGAAATTAAAATCTTAGACATGTATTTCTGAGATTGTAAATGTTACCCCTCAATTGTCCAAATTATTTTAAATGTGGTCCTTTAAGTAGTGAAATGTACTCTCGCCCATATTGTATATTTTACCTTCCAAAATGACCACATTTACAACAGTTTGGATAATTGAGGGGTGACATTTCCAATCTCAAAAATACAGATCTGAGATTTTAATTTCGTGAATAACTGAGGGATCATATATAAGATTTTCCCAAATATTTATATTAGTATTAATAATTAAAATTTAAATGTATAGAAATTACACTAAAAGTTATATTTAAAAGTAAGATCCAAATGTTCAAATATGATAATAGTTTGATATGTAGGGGTGGTAGCGGGTCGGATTTATATCGGGTGAACTGGTGAAGGCTCATCCACGTCCACCAGTTAATTTTTCATATTCCACCCACCCGTCCATCATCCATTAAAAATAACATCCACACCCAACCCATCCAACATGAGCGGGTTATCGGGTGAGTAACGGGTGAATATAAATGGTCTCACTTGAAAGACAAAATAAATAAATTATAAATGAAAATTGTGACATTTAAAAAACAAAAATTAAAAATTCATTAAATAATAACAACAAAAATTTGAGCAATTAAGTATATTACAATCATTATTTCACTGCAATAAAGAAAGAAGTGTTTGTCGAACAAAATAAACATAACTTTTTCAAGCTGTCAAATTCTACATTTCTGCATCGGAAACAAAACTATTTTTGCAATTCAATTGCCACTTCTTAAAACTCTTCAATTGTCTTTATTTCACCAATTCATAGATATGTGTCTTCTTCATTAAGAAATACACATATCTAGTACTCCGTAATATATTAATATTAATTATGATATTTATCATTAAATAGATATTATATACAATATAATATATATTTATTTTTATATGTGGGTTAGTGGGTGGCTGGATGGAGCGGGTGACGAGTCGGGTGATGGATTGGATGAGTGTTCATCCACACCCGATCCAACCCGTCTTTCAATCCACCCGTCATCCATTTTTCATCCATACTTTTTCGGATTTTCGTCCATATTTTCGGTTCGGGTTGACCGGATATCCGCGGGTGCAGGTGGTATTGCCAGCCCTATTGATATGTAATACCATCAAGAAAAGAGTTCAGTTGGTCAAAAAAACAGAAAACAAGACATACAATATACTAGAGGGATACATCACATTTGCAGGATGATAGTGAAAAAATAACTGATGAGGCTTCTAAGTTATCTTATGCTCTTGTAAACTACGTAACTACGTATTAGTCGGTAGTACTACACTACTACCTAGTACTCCATATATTATTAAGAGCCTTTTTGGTAATATCAAAATTTGCTGATTCATATGAAATTTATAAAATTCTGAAAAAAGTAACTGAATTGATTGATTATGTTGATTTATGAAAAATATACTTAAAATATATTTTATTAATAAAATAAAGAAAAAATTATAAGTAAAATAGCTCAAACGGCCAAAAAGAATAACTGTGTTCTTGTTTTTCTTATTATTACACAATTCAAGCTCTAAATTCTTATTATTACTACGGCCAGAAAACAAGCTCTAAATGTCACTAAATCAAATAAAATTTTCTTCGAATCGCCTCATAAGCCAAATCTAGCGCCTTACACATGAGAATATGAGATACTTATAAAAATACGATATTCAATTTCAGCCCTTATAACGTTCTGATATATCAAATTTTATTTAATTAATGGACAAGATATTCTACTACGTATTAAACATTAGGAAAATAGTTGTGATCGCTGGGATACCAATACAATAACGTTATATACGTAGTATTAGGTACCTTAGATTTTAATTTTGTCCCTGTATTAGACTTGGAATTCGATTGTGATATTTTTGTATCATGTGGCTTTAATTTATTCACATAAAGAAGTATTCATAAAAATGATAAATCAAAAAGAAGAGTATTAAAAGATAATATAAAAAATGAAAAGAACATGTCCAAAATATGAAAGAAAAAAAAAAAGGTATGCATAAGTGTCAACTCCATTCTTCATTCCTAACAGCACCTTCCGGGCTCCGGCTAATATAAGCGTATGTTAGAGTCAGATTTTTAGATTGTCACTAGAAGCAAAGTTAATTATTACTCCCTCCGTCCCGTTAGAATGTTCCCGGTTTGACCTACACATATTAAGGAAATAAACTTACCAGGGGGTAAATTTTACTGTTTTGACACTGTTTGGACACTGTTTGGCATTGTTTGGCACTGTTTTGCACTGTTTCACACTGTTTTGATGTAGGATAACTTTCCATTTAGGGAAATGAGAACTTCTTTTTGGGACATCCAAAAAAGGAAAGCGAGAACATTCCAACGGGACGGAGGGAGTACATTTTTGGGAAAACTATCAATTTGGTCCTCGTACTTTCATGAAAAGTCAATTAGGTTCTCGTACTTTTAAAAAGACCAATCAAGTCCCTTAACTTTATAAAAACGTTCAATTGAGTCCATTTGCAGGTTACTTGTCAGTTAGCAGGTCACTCGCTGACGTGACACACATGTGGAAATTCAGTCATCCATTTGTGAGCCACGTAAGCGGGTGATCGGCTGACATGACAAGTAACCCACAAATGTACTCAATTGAACGTTTTACAAAGTTCGGGAATTTGATTAATTTTTTAAAAGTATGAAAACCTAATTGACTTTTTCATAAAAGTATGAGGACTAAATTGGTTTACCCTACAATTTTCTATACAACTCTGATTACGCAGCATGGTCAAAATAGAAACGTAGTGACTGGACTCACAATAGACTCGTATGCAGTAAAATTGGGAAAAGGTAACTAAGGTAAATATAGTAAATGTTACTCGTATAAACATTGTTATTGCATTTGGATTAATTTTTCGGAACCCTTAATAGTCTATTTTTTTTTATAGTCTACTTTTAGTGTTAGGCTGTTAGCACATCGATAGTATGATGCATTAAATGACGGCTGTTGCTTTTGTCTTCAAAATTTTGCTACTGATGAATTCAGTGGTGAAGATTTAACTACAAGATTCAGAATTTTTTCCCACATTAATGTTAGAAAAAAAAGTATTTACTAATTTAGGGTGGGGTTAAAACTATTTACTAAAATACTGCTGGAATTAACCATAGTTAGACAAAATCGCCAAACGAAATAGCGACTTACGAGTAACACGCAACTACGCAAGGCACGTAGCTGAGCAAAAGATGCAAACATGTATCAAATTTCTCTTTTTAATTGGTTAGTGGGACTCACATATTTAAAGAATTCTCTTTTTTATTTAAAGTTATACTCCCTCCGTCCCAGAATTAACTTCAGTTTTGACTGGGCACGGAGATTAAGAAAGTGGGAAATGTGTGGTGGAGAGTTGTGCAGGGGAGAGAGAAATGTGTAAGAATGGTTGTGAACCACAAATCCTTTGCTAAAAAGGGAAAGAGGAGATAAATTTGGGACGGACCAAAAAGGAAAGAATGAAGATAATTATGGGACGGAGGGAGTATAACTTTTATATTTATGCTCTAAATTTTACGAAAAACATATTAAATTTCGTAATTTTTTTTATCATTCATATGACACCAATATGACATATAAAATTGAAAAACAATTAAAACCCATATGAGATGAAAAAACTAGGTGCAACCATGTTCCATCAATAAACCTAACTTACACATTAACTCACACATTAAGAGACTGTTCTCTAATTGTGGAATTAGCTCACTCGATTGATTCTGTTGAAATATATAAAATTCTGACTGAAGTGATTGGATTGACTGGTTATTTTGATTTATGAAAAATCTATAGTTAAAATATATTTTTATTAATAAAATAAAGAAAAAAATATATAATAAAATAGCTAAAATGATCTTCTATATTCCAGGTCATGTACCAATATATTTCATCTTTCGAGTTCTGAATTGATAATTAATCTATCTTTCGGATCCTGAATTGATAAAATTTCAAAAAGAGCGTAACTTACATATTAACTCACACATTAAGAGACCGTTCCCTAATTGTGGAATTAGCTCACTCGATTGATTCTGTTGAAATGTATAAAGTTCTTATTGAAGTGATTGGATTGACTGATTATTTTGATTTATGAAAGATCTATAGTTAAAATATATTTTAATAAAATAAAATAAAAAAACATATATAATAAAACAGTACAAAATGATCATCTACTATAACTTTAGTCAATTTAACCAAAGAAATAACTTCAACCTTATTTATTTTCATTATTACGCTATCCATAGCGTGGAAACAGAAGTTGCATGTTTAATAAAAAAAAGTTATCTGAAAATATAACAAGACCGAAAAATATGATCACCAAACGAGATCTAAATGCTAAATAAGATTGAAGTTATTTTACTGGTTGAATGGACTGAAGTTACCATAAAAGATCATTTTAGCTGCTCCCTCAGTCCCGAAAAGGTTGGCCAAATTTCCTTTTTTGGATATCCCAAAATGATTGGTCATTTCCATTTAAAGTAAAGAATATGTGACTAAAGTT